GCAAAGGCACTCAGTGTGTTCAAGGCTCAGCTTCTTCTGAAAAAATGGGGATAATAAGAGGATATACTGATAAGAAAAAATTATGAGATGTCTTAATGTAGTTTCAGCAGGTTGGATGGAGGGAGGAAGAGACAAGAGAGGTTAATCTGTTAACAAATGCAGGTCAAACCCAACAAAAGACTGTTTATGTTCCTGAATATACGATGAAACTTTGAAGCAATTTGCAAGTGGCTGTTTCCCTGATTATTTAAAGAGGATAGCCAAGCAGCCAGCTACCAGGGGCCCCTGTATCTTGCTTATGCATGAACTTTCTAGACTATTTCCACAACCAATTTAAAGGGGAAACACTTCTTCCTTATGGACTCTGAACCTTTCCCAGAACGAGCCTCACTTTTCCTCCTCTCACTGGCTTTGTCTGCAGCCATCATAAATTCTTGCAAAACAGTTTACATCTTTCTTTTCCAAAAGTGATGTGCGAAAGGTCCACCAACTCCAGGCCTGTGGCATGTTTGTCTCTCCCACCCGGCCTTGCCTCTGGTGGTTCAGGCTACATGTTCCCAGGGCCAGGTCCTTTTTCCAGCCCGCATAGTCTTATAGCTCAATAAACCCTTTCTTTTGGAAAACCTTTTGACCTTAAAAAGTTTCTTAGTTAACAGTTCTTTAGAAAATTGCTTATGAGGATTAAATACGATAACATTTATCAAGTTTTTAGCTCAGTCTTTACTCGTAGTCTTACATACAATAAACATCTTTAAAAGCTTTCCAAAACTTCCTTGTAGCAGGAAACATGCAGCACAGGGTGCCTTTGTCCTGGTTGGGCTGGGCTGGGGTGCACTGCCCCGCTCATCCACACTTCCTTTCCCTCCACCCCCTGTTCCTTTCTCCTATGCCCTTGAGCCTTCTCCTCCCTCATTTGGGTCTTTTTCTTACTTCCTCTCACCTGAGAGCTCAGGTCTTCTCTGTGAACCTCAAGAATGGTAATGTGTACAAGAATGACTTGTTCTCTTTCCTAAATTCTACTGAGCAAATCTTTAGAAGAGCAGAGGACTTTTCTGTGTGGCCATCCTAACTCATTGTACAAAGTCAGAGCAGGCTTGTATCAGGATATCTTTGGAGCGCGCATATTGGACAGGTGCTGGGACAGGTGCCGGTTGCGGTGATGCAGAACGAGAATCCTGAGCCCTGTCTACTCATCTGCCCTGGTCTGGGGAGGGGTCCATCCTCAGTATCCTGGCTCTTCTGTGATCCCAAACAACAAGCACTTGCTGTTCCTAACTGTAGTAGCTTTTGAATAGGGGTTTTTCTACTCGCTTCTAGCTTACTCTAGGTTGACAAATGTCTCTTTATCGGTTTTTATTTTGCTTTTGAAAGAATGATAACACCCACTATGGCTGCAGCTGTCCAGTTGTGTACAGAGTTTAATGTCTGGTCCCACAGACTGAAATTCAACCTGAAGTCCATCTACTCATTAAGATATTGGCCCTATCTGATCTGGATAGCAGCCACCTGGAAGAAGGAAAGTCCAGTGAAGGGTAGTATATTCACATCCATTGGTTTGGCCAGCTGAACATGCAGGCTATTGGAATGCATCTCTGCACGGAGCTCAAGCCAACATTGAATGAGGCTGCAGATCTGTTAATGTGCTTTAAAACCCATGTAAGGGCCTCTCCTCTTCTTTATTTCTGAAGAGAAGTATTTTTAGTTCCAATTGATGGAACTACTGTGATTCAAAATCTTTTTATCACTTTCTTTGAAATGCTGATGAGTTAAAACCAGAATTAAACAAAGCTAAGACATATTTTTAAAAATAATATTTAATGAGTACACATTTACAAAAGCAGGCATCTTTTAAAGTGGAGAAAACATATAAAAATAAAAGGTCTATGAGCTTAATAAAAAATTTCCCAGAATACAAGAAACATGCCAGTTGTGAAAAAAATGTATTATTTTTTAACTGTGGAACAGTTTGGATGTGTTAAAAGGAATACAGCTCACCATTTCCATCTCTTCCTGACTCATTCTTTCCCCCTTAAGTAAACCAGAGGGATGGCTGTGTTAGGATGGCCAAACTGGGTTGATGGTTTGCGGGGAAGAAAGTTGGGGAGGGAAGAAAAGGAAACTGGCCTTTCTGCTGGGCATGTGGGGTTTGCAGCCTTTGAGGTTGAGGCTGAGGTTTAGGCCTGGCCATGCAGTGTTATGTCAAAACCACCAGGGGGCCGCGCTCTAACTTCTAGCTTCATGGAAAGCTGTTATTAACGATCCAGGTAGAGCATTTTTGCTAGGTTAGAAAAGTAGAGTCATTTTACTCCAGGAAAGCTTGGTTACCTAGGTGTAGTATTTTCTATTTTTAGTAAAAAATTGTGACCCAGTAAAAACATATTGCTCTGTTACTAAAAAGGAGCATAGTTAACCCAAATGGCTTTTTTAAATATCAGCCTAGATAGTCCTTAACCAATCTGCTAGCTAAAGGGCAGGCTCCAATGCTTGAACACTTGGCTGTCTGGAATAAAACAGAGCGGATGAGTACTGACATTTTCCCTGTCCTTCCCACTCATGCTTTGGGCCTGCACCACACGCCGCGGCTCTGCTCAAAGTCTTCCAGCGTTCTGTATCCTTGCTGGGCGGGTCAAGGATACAGGGATGGATTGCGTGTTCTGTCTATCTTCTCCGTGAACACAAATCGAAACAAAAAGCAAAATCTGTAAGGGTAGGATGAAACCAATACCCTTATAACCAATACTAATGACGTTGACAAGGTCATTTTAGATATAATTTGGCAATATATATCAAATCCTATTAAAAGTTTTTTAATTTTATAATCCTAAATGTTCTGAGGAAATAATTTGAAGTAATGAAAAAAGTTGTAAGTGCTAAGTTACTCTCTGAAATATTATTTGTTTTAGTAAAAAACAGCATATAACCTTCATGTTTAATTAGGCAGTGGGTAATAAATGTCCATTTAATATAATATTATGCAGCTATAAGTTAAATATATATACTGTGTAACTAAGAGAACAATGCTGATATATTAAGTGAAAAAGGATATAAAGTTGAGTATACAGTATAGATAGAAATATTTTCAAAAACTTTTATAAATAAATATCCTGGATTACGAGTGATATTTTAATGCATTTTAATTATTTTGTATACTGTTATATAGAATATATGATAAAAGTAATAAAAAAAGAGAGAAAAGCAAATGGTCTTGATAAAGCAGGAGAGAAATGTCAAAGGGCCAAGAGCCTTTTTGTTCTTTCAGGATGTGAGAAGATTGTGCATAAGGCTCCTTTTAGCTCCATGTGGGAGCCAGGAAGGCTAATCCTGGTGAAGGTCATCTTGGAAATGGAACCATCCTCACAGAAAAGCAGAGAGTCGTCCTGAGCTGTGGTGAGGATGTGAGAAAGAGCTGGGTTTCATGGAACAATTACGATGCACACCTCTCTGCCCTGAGGCTGCCCACAATTCTCCCTAACCTGCATGTCTGTCACGCTTACACATTCATTATTCATTTAATTTCACTGCTTAAAATGATAATGAACAAAGACAACTTATAGAAGCTACTTTTTTATGCTAGAAATTCATTTCATAGGGCATTAATAATGAATAATATTTGGAATACATTATTTACAAAGCATATCACAATACCTAAATAAAACCAAACCTAATATAGTGTAACTTTACAACATTTATTTAGCTTGCTATCTACAATTCTGGTTTATTTGAACTTTTGTGCATGGGCTTTTATCAACCTTTCCTTGCTCTTTGTACACTGAGAAAACCCAAGTGGGTATCCTTCGATGTTTAACTCAGCCTTTCTTGTAGAGGAGGGATCTTTGGACAACTGTACAGATTTGCATATATCTGACCCATACCCCCAATCAACTGTAGTATATTTTTGTTACAGTATACAATAGTTCCCCACTATACACATTGATACTGGTAAAAGCAAAATCAAAGAGGACATTTAACTACAGAATTCGCTGTTGCAATATTTATAACCACTTTCATGTCCAAAAAACACACAAAAAACCTTCTTCCTTTTACTTCATTTGCCCCTCCTCTTCAGCCCTACCTACTAAAACCTTTACCAGTGGCTGCCATTTTACTGTTTTCTCTTTCACTCCACTCAGCCTGTGAGCCAGAGAAGGAAGTTGCATATACTTCCGCTGGAATTTGCAAGACATTACATTAGTATGGCACCCACAATGAGAAGCTTCTGAGTGTGAAGCCACAAAGCTAATCTGGAGCTCGGGGTGGGGCCTGCCTTCATTCACCACTAACCCAAGGTAAAATGCTGTTCTCTTCCAATCTCTCAAGTTCTCAAAGTCAGGCAGCATTTCCTTTGTTGTTTACAAACTTCAGGCTGAGGTGGGAATGTGGGGGGGCTCCACCCGAAGGGCCCCCCTGGCCACCACGGATGAGAATAAGTCTACCAAGTCATGATCTGCTTGGGGAGGAAAGGTGGCTGATCTCTCAAAGGAGAAGGGCCAAGAGCCTTTTCCTCAATGGCTTTTATTAGGTTCATTTTGCACAGGAATACAGGCAAAGCTCATCAGTCACTGTCAGGCAGTAAGGATCAAACAATAGATAACATACAAAGAACTCTGAGGGCCTATTCTGAGTCAGGGTCTGTTAGCTAAAGGGCTATAAAACTTTGGGAAACAAACTCATTTCCTTCTCAGACCCTTACCATTTAATTGAGAGCATTCTTAGCAAAGCAGGTTTCACAGGATTTTATGCATTCTTTCTTAGGCCCAATCACCCAGGGAACCTGCCCTTTCCAGCACAGGGCTGCACTGCCCTTGGTCATTGTTTCAGGCTTAAGTCAGGCAGGGGAAGTAAGGCAGCCAAGAGATTAGGAGACTTCTTGCAGACAGAATGAGGACTCAGGCTATGTCAAAGCTGAGGGGTGAGGGTCTATCACCCCCTTTTGCTATAACCTCCCAAGTCCTTCCCTGGGGCCTCCCTGTGATTGTGCATGTCTTAGGTCATTCCCCCCCTGGGAAATTTTACCCATCATTGGCTAACCAATCAAGCACTGGTGGCCAGGCAGGGTGAAGTAAAAGGAGCAGAGGCGGCACCCCAGCCAGGGAGATAAGCTTTGTCTCCTTAGTGGCTTATGGTTTGAAGGTCGCTCGCTTGGCCTTCGCCATGAGGGGGTCACAGCTTCTGAAACCAGGCAGGGTGGTTCCCAACATGGGAGAAAAATGCTTTCTTGGCTAAACCCATTGTTCATCTCTAAAGACTCTGGGTGAATTGAACATTGATTTAAATATCTGTTTTTCCATTCACTGCTGATTCCGAGGATTTCGAGCTCCTTTCCCATCCTTGTCGGATCCGTGTGAGGACCTTGTCTATGCAAGGCAGGATGAGGATGAACTTGATCACCAGCACGGTGCAAGGAATGATGAGTGCTATTATGTGAATTGAAGGAAGATACCACCTGAGACTCGAAGGACTGAGGAATCTCTTTCCACCGTATATCAGGGTGTGAGCCGTGCACAAGATCAGGGTCAGGTAACCTAGTTTGGACTATATAAGCAAGAAACAAAAATATGCACATTAACACTATTTACATTTTAAAGCAAAACACTGTAAGCCAATGAAGAATATTTGTCAACAACAATAAATCTTTGGAAACTATCTTATTTAGAACAGTTTACTAAGTACTGAAAAAAGCATCACCCCTCCTTCAGGATGATAATATTTTATTTAAAACAAAATGGATTGTGCTCACAAATGGCAGGGTGGTTTCACCTTAACCTGGCTGGATGGGAAAGTTTCCCAGGAGTCAACTCTTTTGAGTTTGAACAAATAAGGTGCCTTGCTTCCTTCTTCAGTGGTAAAACTCTTTTCTTGATTACCTTTTCTGGAGGTCAGAGGTTAATAAGACACCATATGTCCCCAAGGAGTACCACATTAATAAATGTTACTGACTAAAACCAGATACTAAGCTAATTTCTATCACAATAAAGAGAAGTTAGCTAACTTTACTTTTGTCTGTTTTGGCCTAAATACTAAAGTTCAGTGTTTATTTCTGTCTTAATACCTTGAAGAAAAGTGTTGACATGAGACACTGTTGACTGCATTTGTCCCTGGAAGAAACGGTTAAGACTTGAGAAATTCGAATTGTTCTATAAAACCCAAACCAAATATCAATTACTGATGGTCTATTCCATTACACCGATGCACAGTGAACATGCATCAGGATAATCTGGCAGAACAAATTGCTAGGTCATGTGTGGAGTTTCTGATTCATGAGGTCTGGGAGGGCCTTGGCATTTGGTATCTAACAAGACCACAGGTGGTGCTAATGCCACTGGTCCAGGTCCCACATTTTGAGGACCACTGGTTTATAAGAATAGTTCAGGCCTGGCCAGGTAGCTCAGTTGGTTACAGTGTCATCCACATTAAGGTTGTGGGTTCGATCCCCAGTCAGGGCACATACAAGAATCAATGAGTGAATGCTTATATAAGTACAGCAAATTGATGTTCTCCAAAATTAATAAATTAAAATTTTTTTTAAAGAATAGCTAAAAATTCCCTTTAATGAGGTGCCTGGTTGATGTGTAAAAAAAAAAACAACTTTTCCCTGTCACAGACCAGCATTGAGTCTTGTGTGCTGACAGTCCAGCACATCGTGTTTGTGAGGCTTTGAACTCCTTCAGTGCACTGCATTATAAATCAATGTGTCCCTGTCCTGTGGTTGACTTTTGGAAGTAGAAACTTTATCTTTGGGTTTCTTTTCACCTTGCACTGAGTACATCTCCACAATATATAATAGTTGTTGGTGCTTTTCGTTCTACACTTGTAGCTGTGGCCCTGGGTGACAGAAATCTCAAATGCCCTGCTAGGAATCCAACCATTACGGAATCTGCCTTTTGTTACCAACATTTAACATTTTCTAATTTAAATTTGTTTCAGTTGCTGCTTTTATGAGATTGCTAGGGAAGTGATGGAGCAAAATGAAAATTTATGCCTGGTATGAGAGAAAAATGAGGATATTTGAAAAGAAACACTCATTTTGCAATTACAGTAGATTAAATCTTGAGGTCCTTACCTGGACAAATCGGAACTCTCTCCAGTTGACCGTGTTGCTAACTGATGGCAAGGAAGTGATCCCCAAGAGGACAAAAAAGAAAAATCCAAGGATTCCCAAAGATATATATGAATCATTAAGCCAGGCCATAGAGGTGCTAAATGGATTTTCTTTCTTGGTTATTGCCTATGAAAAATTATAAGCAATTTTAAAAAATTTCATTATTAAGTAAACTGCCCAAACTTTCAAGGGGATTGAAAATACCTCTGCATGGTTCATTTGCTCAAGGTAAATTATATGACATTTGTTAATAATCATTTGAAAATAATTGTAAAGAAAAAAACACTTAGACATTATTTTTTTTTGGTATAAAAAGCAATGGATCTGATGGAAGTTCATTATGATAGTTGATGCCAGGGGTTGTATACAGAGTTTTAATTAACCCTATAAATCCTAAAAAAGGTAAACATTTACTTAAACCATCTTTACCACATGGTTTCTTGTCCTCCAAGCAAAACTTGATGTTCTCAGATGATTACATCAAGATTCTGTTTTTCTGCTTTATATGCTGATTAGTCACACAAAAAGTTGGGGTTCTTTCTTGTCTGTTATGTGTAAATCAGCATCGAGTTTGTCACACCACAGGTGGAGAGAAATCAGGCCTCTTTAATGTGATTCTCACCCCAAAATCTCCTGTGCATTTGTTAGGGAAGTAACGTAAGGAAACCCACTGAAGCACCATCACTGAGTTATTGAGTGAGGTATAAACTTTGAGACTGAAGTAAGGTTGGTTAAAACCACTCATTTCCTGAGGAGAGCTGATGTGTTGCACTTCCACTGGGACTGCTCTTAGACTCCCTGAGTTAGTTCTTTCTGAAGTTTTGGTTATGCAGAAAATAGTATTTGCCATTTGCTTAGAAAACTGAACAATGGAGGACAATCCCATGAGCCAAAACATTAATGGGATTGTAAGCACTGTTTTGTGACTTTGTTTACATTCTTGTGACACGTGTTGGAATAGCCCCCTTACTTACTTACAGGGTGGTTAGGTGTTGACTTCCGAGAGGAAGTGGCACGCGTAAAAACCAAAGCTGGAAAATGTGCTGGTTTACATTTATTAAATGTGCACAAAGGAATTTCGCCGGGTGTCACTAGGCTCCCTGAGCCTGCAGCTCTGTCAGTCTGTCAGGGTCCCAGATGTGTGGCAGCACAGACCTGGACCCAAGGGAACCTGGGAATCTAACTTTCCTTCTCAAGTGGATTCACTCAAAAACCAAAACCGAAAGCAGACATGGGGTCTAATTCTAGTTACTTGAAACAATAAAGATACTTAGAAGACTGGTTTTCTATAATTGTAAAAGAGAGTATCAGACAGCAAGTTTTCCCTTTGACTTAAGGAATAGGAGGGTACAAATGAGTAGAGACTGACCTGGGTAGCAGTTGCGTTTCCCAACCTCCATCGTACATAGTAACGGATCGGAATCACAAGTGTGTAGAGGACATGAAGGAAGGCAAATCCCAGTCCTAGCAAGCCAAGCTGCTTCCTGCAGAGCATCCAGCGGTCCAGCCAGTCTGGGAAGCGGCGGTACTTGGTTCCTCGGTACAGTTGCAGGATGGCAGCGATCACACCAGGGAGGTAAACCACCGCAAGCAGTATCAGCGCCACTACTGGACAGACGCGATTTGGAATGGAAATAGCCATGCGAAATGTGATGTCCTTATTGTCATTAACATAAGAGTAGATTACTTCTCTGATAACACAGTAAACAAAAAAGAAGACACACAGACAAGCAGACAAGTAGAAGGGGACCTTCCACATTGGAAACAGTTGCAGGGGGTAGTTCTCAATTTCCTTGGCTGCCCTGAGGGCTCCTTGATCCAGCGGAGTCAGCCCAAGAGTATGAGCTATGTCCATCACTTTCTGCTTGGCTTTGCTGTCATTTCCACAAACAAACACCTGGGTTAAAAAGAATTATTTTGTATTTATTTTTCCATCAATAATTATTTTGAAAAGTCTATACAAGTACTGCTTAGAATGAGGACATGTAGTGCTGAACTGCTTTTCAAACAAGGCTGTTGCATGCACGTGTTTAGTGAGATGACGCTTTGAACTTGCACATGGGTGCTTGGTAGCTCAGTGCCGGGGTTCAAGCTGAGTGTGGTTTCAGGCTTGTCACACTGACAGGGCAGGACTCTGCCTTCCACGTGGGAGCAGCTTGGTGTTTCTCCTGTGTTCCCAGTGCCCCAGCACTAGGATTGCTCCCAGCCTCAGTGAGGAAATGGAACCAGTTTCACACAAGATGATGGGGGGTGGGGTGTGGAAAGGATACCTAGCAACAATTTTAGGTGTGTTATTCTCCAGTACTAGCAAGAGGCCCCCTTGGAGACTCACACCACAGGGGTCCACCAAGCCAAGAGCTTTGCAGACAGTGGGAAATAAATCACACTTGACCACCCCACATGGTTAAACCCAAGAAAACTAGTCATGGCACATTTTAGCAGAATGGAATATTTAGTGGGTATTTTCTTTTGGAGTTATATTTTGGAATCTTTGAGGTGAGGCCAGATTAAAAAATTCACTTATTAAAGATTGAGTGTGAAGTAGATTCACCGTTTAATCTTACCTGCCGACTTGCATCCAGTGCCCCTGACTGGAGAGCCCAGGCGGAGAGGGTGTTAAATGCCTTCACTACATGGGCTCCCGGCACCAGCTGAGCAAGGTACTCTGCATTGGATTCTGGGTATTGATTGACTTTGAGGTTGTTGCTGACATCGACCAATATTTTCCCCTGGAGAACCTCAGTCAGTGCTGTGAGAAAATCATAATGTTCCCTGTGGATAGCTATGATTATGGTGTCAGATTTCTGAGCCGCTTCTGAATAGCTCAAGACGTCTGCGCCTTTGGGCAACAGACTGGACATCCTGGGGGTTCGACTTCCGAAAACAATAGAATAACCGCACTGGAGCATTCTAAGTCCCAGCGATCTTCCCAAATCTCCTGTTCCAAAAATACATATCGTCTCCCGCTCTTCTGAAGAAATCATGGTAAGAGGAAGTGTATCTGTAGAAGTTTTCTCCATGCCTGAAAGATAATTATAAAACAAATACCAGCAAAATATGAATGCTCTGGGCATGGAAAAATTAAGAAGAATTATCTCCAGGAAACAGTGGTTGGCTGATGTTATTCTAAACTTCTAGTGAATTCCCCACAAAATTAGGAAAGAGTAAAAATTGTCATATAGATTCTCCTGTGTCTTATTTAACAAAATCATTGATAAAAACTTCTGTTGGATAAAGAGATGCATCAAGAAAACCAAAACACTGGTGGGCATTTTAAACTATGCACATGTTTTGCAATGATATTACATTTATCGAATACTTATAGTTCCAAGATTTCTCAGTCTGCCTGGCTGTCTCCTCACTTTTCTGTTCGCTTATCCTAATATATTATTTTTCTCTCTCTTATGCTGGGATGAACATTTGCAAAATACAGATTTGATCAAGTTGCTGGTGCTCTGTAGTGAGACGGGTGCTGTGAATATTGACATGTTCTCACTTGGATCATCTTGATCACTGCAAAGAGAGTGATTCTGGACTCTGCACTGAGTATTTAGCTACCACATTCATTTATTCTAACCTGCCATAAACTTTTTAAAACAAATATATTGACTACACCATACTATTTTTTGTTTTACCTATGACTAGCAGTGTGCCCTTGAGTAAGTTACTCAAACTCTTTGTGTCTCAGTGTCTTCATCTTTTTTTTAAATCCTCAAGGATATGTTTTCATTGATTTGAGAGAGAGAGAGGGAGGGAGGGAGAGGGAGACAGAGATGGAGAGGGAGAGGAGAGAGAGACAGACAGGCAGTCAGGCAGACAGGGACACATCGATGTGAGGGAGAAACATTGAATGGTTGCCTCCTGTTCACACCCTGACTGGAACCAAACCTGTGACCTTTTGGTGTAAGTATGGGACAGTGCTCCAGCCAACTGAGCCACACAGCCAGGGCTCAGTATTATCTTCTTACAAATGAGAAATTGATACTACCTACTTTGGAGACATCAGAAGGGTCGGATGAATTAGTGTATCTTAAAACAGTTTTTGATACACAGCAAATTGGTCATTAATAGATTACTTAATGATCTATTAGTTACTTAATATCAATCTATTAATTATAATTTAGTATAACCTATATGTAAATTCTATAAATTAAGGTTTAATTATTCTTCTATAACTGTTTTTATTGGAAATATATAAAATTTGTCTGAAACAGTATTCAATAATTCTTAAGAAGCTTCTGCCATACTCACTTATTTCTTGTAAATAAAATCCTATATGACATGGCTTTAGAGCATATATCAAAATGTAAGTATAAAAACAGCTCAAGTGTGAATTTCTCTCATAATTCTTTCACAGTTTTTTTGTTTGTTTGTTTTGTTTTTTTTTCTATTTTTTTAATCATTGTTCAAGTACAGTTTTCTCCCCTTTACTCCCATTCCAGCCCACCCACCCTTTTTTCCCTGTTTTTAATTTTAATCATTGTACAGTTTGTTTTAATATTTCTCTCTTAAAATGTGGCTTGACAATCCAATGTAACATACTTGGGCTGTTATCCCCACCATTAGAATTTATTTTCACTCCTCACCCTTCAGAGACATCACTGGGAAAATTAAAGATACAAAACCAGGAAGGAGATGTTAAATATCACTGGCTGACAATGGAATGAAATATAGTTATTCCACTGGGCAGTGAGTTACTCCTTACTAAGTTACAGAATTTCTTAGGTTGACAGTTGTGTTGACCACATCTTGAGCTCCACCTTAAGTCCCCCGGTTCTTTTTGCAGTCCTGGGCAGTCACCAAGCGCTGCCCAACTTCCAGTGCCTAACAGAGGCTCACTCTGGGGCCCTCCACCTTCTATCTCTTGATTCTTGTCCTGGGGCTCTTCTGGCCCCCGTACCTGCACTGTAGCACTCAGAGGTGTACAACCCATGGGGCACCCATAGACCAGTGGGGATCAGGACTCCACTGATCAGTGGTTCCCTTTCATCTTCTGGCACATGGTTCTGACAAATATGACAAGGCTGCTCTGAAAGTCTTACTGGGTCAGAGCACTACTCGTCTGCAGCAGTGGCCAGAGTGACACCCTCTCCCTGTCTTCCCCACCTCCCCTGGTTTGTGCTCCTGGTCCCTCACTCCTGCTCCCTGAAATCACTTCCCTAATAAACTATCCGCACACAAGCCTCTGTTGCAGCTCTGCTTGCTAATCAATCCAGGAAAATACAACATTTTGACTATTTTTTATGAAAAAAGAAAAACGATCAGACCTAAGATTACCATAACTGAAATGATGAAATAACATGTAAAACACAAAAAGTTAGTCATTATTGGGAAGAATCTAATTTCTAACTCTTGGGGAAATATCCTAATAATAGGAGTATGTAAAAATGAGAGGTATGTGCACACACTCTAAACCACGAGAGGTCATTTTACAGTAAGTACTACGTAAAGGAGGAAGTCACACCCATTTCCGACTGTTTGTAACTGAAAATACCTCGTGTGTAAACATGGAATTATGGAGGTAGTAAGGTTTCTTGTTTAAAAACTTTAAAAAGAGTTTCCTGGTCCTGATTTCCTCTTAGATGTAGGATGGAAGGAATAAAGGAAATGAGAGAGGTGGCGAACAGGAACCAGAGTTATTAAGGGAAAGACGGGTTAAAGTAGTTACAACATAGTGGTCTCCTCTGTCTCCTTCACCTCTTCCTAAGCCTCAGTTACGTAACAGGAAATGCAGCAAGAATATCTCCTGGTTTGGAAAATCTCCAGGACTGGGTTTGCCTCCTATGGAAGCACCTTTCAGATGGTCTCCTTGTGAGGAGAGCCAGATAGGTAATGGGATCCCACTAGGTGTTTGTAGAGATTAGAGACTGGCTACCAGTGACGCAGATGCAAAGAGGGCCAAGATGACTGCCAAAGCCACGGTAGCAGGCACCGCTGAGATGCGTGTATGTGCGTGGATGCATAGGTGTGTGACATGAGGGGCCAGGTGCTGGGCAAGTAGAGTCTTGCTTATCATCTCCCTCTGTCTGCAGATCCTACCCCAGGTTTTGGGAAGCCGAGGCAGCATTCTTCTTGGGAGTTCCTAACTTGGTGTCCCATGTGGATGCTGGAGTCAGTCTGGTGTGTATGTGTGTTAGCTTTTCTCACCTCCCAGAGGCCCAGGCCACTTCCAGCTTCAGAAGATTTTAGCATAATAAAACCATGGGACTGTCCAAATAGGATTACAAAAATTGCATCTGTTAAATGCTTATGCTTAACAAATCAGTGATATTAACAAAAAAAGCTTTTCATCTGAAATAATTATAGACTCATAGAAAGTTGTCAAGATAGTATGAGGCCCCTGGGCAGCCTTCTTTCTCCACTTCCTCTGATAATGGAAAAACATAAAATGGAGTAGGCATTGCTAAGACAGTCACTTGATACAAAAACAGAGTCAGGAGGCTCCTGAGGAGGTGGCGCCTGTGCAGATGTTATGAATCAGTTCTCAAAGCTGCCAAGCTGCTAAGCCTGTTGCTAAACTCAGGTCAAGGATGACTCACAAACATCCTGGAACAACTGCTCTGTGGACACATAAGGACTTGAACTCCTCCTTGTAGCTTTACCCCCTCATTTGCATATCTAACCATCTCTGCTAACCTAGCCAGCAGTCCTTCATTTACATGGAAGAATTACACTTGATGGTGTTTGCCTTCACAAACTCTGCCTTTGTTCTCTCTGGAGGGCAGCTTGGGTGGTTGCTACCTGAGTCTGTGTCTCAGGGGTTTGAATCTTTTAAAGCTCCAAATAAGCTTTTAAATTCTTTTACATACTCAGATCTTTATTGGTTAACACCTGCAATGGTTACATTCTTATATACCTATGGTACACTATCAAAACTGGGAAACGACATGGCTACAAAGCATGTGTCTGGTTCTGTGTCATTTTATCCCACGTGTGGTTGCCTCTATCCACTGCCGCCATCCGGGGCCAGAACCTTCCCAGCAGCACCCTTCCAAGTGATGCCCTGCTCTGCTCCTCTGCCTCCCCTGGTCCCCGGACACCATCAGTTTGTTTGTTCTCTAACTCTACAACTTTGTCATTTTGAGAATGTTGTATAAATAAAACCCCACAACATGTAAATTTTCTTACTGGCTTTTTTTTTTTTTGGTTACTTAGCATAATGCCCTTGAGATCCATCCAAGTTGGCATCTGTCAATAGCCTGACCTCTTCATTTGCTCTTTTGCTACCTGTATGTTCTGTTTGGTAAAAAGTCTGTGTACATCTGATTCCATTTTCTAGTTGGATTGTTTGTTTTTTAACTGTTGAGTGCTTTTAATTTTTTATGTATGCTAGATGTGAGTCATTGGAAGTTACATGGTTTTCAGCTATTTTACCCCAGTCTGCAGCTTGTTTTTTCCTCATCTTTAAAGAGTTGCTCACAGAGCAAAGGTTTTTAACTTTGACAAAATTCAAATTGTTTTTGGATTGTGCCTTTGATGTCATGTCTAAGATTTTTTTTACTAAGCCCTAGGCCCTCAATATTTTCTCCTAAAGGTTTTATAGTTTTATACTTTACATTTAAATCCATTATTCATTTTGAGTTAATAGTTGAATAAAGTGTGAGATTTAATCCAAGACTCATTTTCTTCCTATCATTTGTTTAAAAAGATCATCTTTCACTGAATTGCTTTTCACCTCTGAAAAAAATCAGTTGTCTGCTCCTGTGTGGGTCTGTGTTTGGGTGGGTGCTCTATCCTGTTCCACCGGCCCACGTGTCTCCCCTTTGCCTTTGACTGTAGCTATACAGTGAGGCTTAGAAGTGCACAGACTAATTCTTCCCAGTTTATTTTTTATTTTCAGAACTGTTTTAGATATTCTAGTTACTTTGCCGTTCAATGTAAGTTTTAGGATAATCTGGTATATATGTGTGTGTATATATATATGTATATATATAATGCTTATACTTAACAAATCAATGATTTTTAATGTAATCCAAAAATATAATGCAACCTATTTGTTTTGTTTAGGAGGTAATCTCATGA